GGTGGAGAGAAATTTGAAGATTTGACAGATCTTGTGGAACACTACAAAAAAAACCCTATGGTCGAAAAATCTGGCACTGTTGTGCAGCTTAAAACAGTAAGAAGCTGTGATATTTTTTAATCTTTTGCCATCTGTGTTATTGAATCCCTTTCAATCTTCTCTCCATTAAAGGTATCCTAGCTTATTTGTACTTTCTTTTAATTTCTCTACATTTAGTGGTAAATTAGCTTGAACAGTGTACTGCATAGCTAGTAAATTTGTGCAATAGATTTGAATTTTGCCAGTGCATTTTGTATTCCCCTTCTGCACATGATGAAGTGTGTACCCTCTGGACATGACAGAGGGAAATTCCCTCTATACAACATTTGAATCACTATGAGTCATTACTGAAAATGTCATTGGATAACTGTTTTATGCATAAGGTGGGAATTATTGATATAATGTATACTACGTACGATGCTTGATCCTCGCAGTAGAGAGCGCTATTTATGCAATAGTGAAAATCACCTGAAAAAAATCAGGCCTGTACGGGATTCGAACCACTGACCTCTGCGATACTAGTGCAACGCTCTACCAATTGAGCCAACTGGGAGCAGGCCGTTAAGTTGATTCGTAATAAACCCCTGACATTAATCATCATTCACTAGACATCAATCCATTATTGAGCATCTTAAATAGTTCTCTCTACTGCGAGGATCGTGCATCATACGGATTATGATTATGTTGATCATAAGGGCGCCTGTGATTATGTTTCTGGGCGTTCCCACTTAGACATGAGCGACATAACAGCGTTATGTTCATGCTTATAATTATGATTATGATTATGATCATATGTCGCTAGTGGGAACTAGGCTTTAAGCGTCATTGACTGTCACAAGACATCATTAGTCGTCATTTGACACCATTCGCCGTTTGCAGGCATCAATCCCCATCACAAAAGATAATTCCCTGACATTAATCATCATTCACTAGACATCAATCCCATTATTGAGCATCATTTACCGTTATTAGCATCATTGGTCGTCCTTATTGCGGATAGATGATGTACATTGACAACGAATGATGTCTTGATGTCTAATCATGGTCATGATGGTTTTTGAATGATGAAAATTGGCGAGTAGTGGGTGGTAGATCCCAAAATACGCCTATCAGACTCGCTGTGTGAGTGACTATTAAAGCTTTTGGTAGTGTTTGGTGCTGGCTTCGTGACCAGCGGGAGAGGGAAGTTGAAGTATTGATTTGAGCGGGAGTCCTATTCCCAATGATTGCTTTTCCCACCACGATTAACACTTTCTCTCTCCTCCCTCTTTGTATGGTGTTTTGGTTTCTTACCTTTTGCGAATTATCTCTTCAGATTACAATCTTTTCCAGTGATTCCTTTTCTTAAGAATTTCATGGATATGGTTGTTACCGTAGGCTCGAATTTTACCTTTCTCTCGGCGCCTCGCCCTTTTCCTTCTCCGGAGGAAGGGAAGATCGTAGACTCGTTCATGTCATGTCTAATAGTTCCATAAATTGCTCTTATCTATCAAAGTATGAAGTTATCAAACTCAACACTGGCCCTCTTGATCATTCCCAGTGTTTAGAGAAGCTTTTAATGTGTTTTCGTTTATCTAATTGTGCAGCTTAAATTTACTTCAAAGAGTAGGAAACTAATGATTCGTTTGAATTCGTGAAAGGAAGGGTTCGGTTTTTCGAAATTTTTTTCTGAAATGGAACATACCGACCATGCAACAGTGAAAGCTCACCCCGGCAACTTTCACACCTATACTTCCCTCTTTCTTATTAATTTTTTTATAACTACCAAGACAAATCTTTCCAAAGCATTGACACTGCATATGAGATATTTTTAAGATATAAAGTTACAAAAGCCAAAATGTCTCGAGATTTCCTAGAGTTTAATCCTCCTTTACCCCGAGCCTGCCTGTCAGCCAGCTTAGAGATTCTCTGCGGGGGGGGCATAAGGTGATCGTCATGTGACTTTCGCGTGACTTAGACCCAGTCCACCATGCAACCGAAGGAGACAGTTTGACGTCAAAGGAAGAGTGTATGCAGCAGCTATGGCGAAAGCTTTCATCGCATCGCTTTTGCTGGTTTTTCTACCAATTTGTTACGGACAAACGGACCCTCAACCGGAACAGATTCACTTGTCAAGTACAGGTAAGGAAAGAAAAGATCAGAAAAGACAAAAGTAAGGTAAACGAGAGATTGACAGTACGTGCATAATTTGTCGCAGCCGGACAGGCTCGACTCGGTATACAGGTTGTGAAGAATTCCAAAACTACCGCTCTCTCGATGATCTACGGAAGTTTAGTCCAATAAGAGTAAGGCGTTGATATGGAAAGGTTTATTTCACAGATCGGAGATATTAATGAAGAAATCTGTACGAAATCGACATTCTCAACTCTGTTACATAATACGTTTATTTTTGACATGGGGTCATGGATAATTTATAAAAATTATGTGATAGTAGAGGAAGGGTGAGGGCTTGCAGAAAGTTCTTACACACTTGGGCACTCTTTTTTGGGCTGTAGGGAAACTCTTTTGACGATTACNGTTGTTTGATGAATTGCTATAGTGTGACCTTGAAATTTTCCCTAATAACTATTAAGCATCATTATTGGATTTAAGCTGTACAGAAGAACATTGAACCACATAGTTTTGGGGTTGAAAATTTAGTTCTGATTGATAATTCCATCATTATGCATGTTGTTATTTCTGTGGGAACTATAACGATGATATTACAATCCCATGCACCAATTGAGATTACCAGACTGTCTCACAAGACCTAAAGCCTGAGCCACAAGACAATTTGTTTGGGCATATAAAAGCATAAAGCAGATATAGATTTTCTGCAGTTCTAACCAGTCAGGGGTGGCTTCTCTCTAGTATTCCATTCCTGCATCTTAATTCTATTTTGAAGCCTTTAATTTCCAAGATCTTATTCTCCCCTCTAGTTGCTACAGATTTCCTTTTAGATTAGTTTTGAGAATTTGGAGTTAGATCAGGACAATGACTTCTACCTGATCAATTTGAGTACTCTCATTACCTGTTTGCTGGATAATGATAGGGAGAAGTTTCAAGTTAATCACTTCTGGGAGTTATAGTATTAAAGGGGAGAGGAGGTACATATACTTGTAACAGCTTCTAACCAGTTAGTTTCCAAATCTTGGCTCTGTTTCAGAGCTTATTGTTTCACCATCCTCAGATCTGGCTCTAAAAGATTAATGTGGTTTAATTAAAGTACACAACAGTCACATTAATAATATAACATTGGTTCATTAGCATTTTATCCCTTAACTCCTGGAGAAGCGATAAACATGTAACTTCTCGCTATAATATCTGTGCATGATCTAGCAAACAGGTAGTGAGAATACTCAAACTTATCAGGTAGTTGTTACCTTGATTTAATACCAAATTCTCATAACCAATTTACAAGGAAATCTGATTGTGGGAATTAAAAGGTGAAGATCACAAATGTGATACACCTTACATCACAAGATTCAAATCAAGCTTTGTGTGACAAAGTAAATGTAACGTCACAAATTATAGCATAAATTTATTGTTCATTGTAAAGGTAGGTCCAGTCATTCTTGAACTAATATTGATACATTTTGTCACTTTTAAAGGAGACCCAACGGAAATGATGGTCACATGGGTGACTTTAGCAAAAACAGATTACAGTGTTGTGCAATACAACAAAGCTGGTTTACCCTTAACACTGCAGACCACTGGTGCTGCAACCAAATTCACTGATGGAGGACCAGCGCACAGAGTGCTGTGGATGCACAGAGTGAAACTAACAGGATTGATGCCTGGTCAAGCATATGGTATGTTCAGTTTTTATGCATGCATTGCTTGAGAGTACTTGGTTTTATTGGCTGAAGCTGGTTGACCAGCAGATTATCTATGATGCATTAAATGGTTTGAGCCAGGAGTGATTGTCTGAGAGAGAGAATAGTCCTGAGAAGGACTGTTCCAGGTAGTGCATGGTTGTAATTTTGGTTTTGCTAACCTTAGTGGAAGTCATCAGTCAAATAAGGTGACAACAACAACATACATGTATTATTAAACAATAACAATATTAAAATCCCTGATTGTTTTATCTTTTATCCAGAATACCGTTGTGGTGGATTGGAAGGGTGGAGTGCCCTATATGGGTTTAAAGCTCTTCAATCTGGTGTAGATTGGAGCCCTAGAATGGCAGTGTTTGGAGATATGGGCAGTGCTAATGCTAAATCACTCAGCTATTTGCAAGAAGAAACTCAACAGGGACACTTTGATGCCTTCCTCCATGTTGGTAAGTATGTTTGTGCTCAAGATTTCTAAGCTAGCATTTGTAGCTTATGACAAAGTACGTCTTTGTTAGCTTGACTAGATAATATCTTGTAACTGGTATTGACAAAGGCATTCTCTTTTTACAAGAAACCCAACACAGTGCAGTGACTCACTCATGCTTGTCAGAAATCTTAGACAGTTGAATTATAAATCTGGGATGAGCAGAGCACATGTAACTTTACTGATTTTCTTTCTTGTCATTCTCCTTTTCCAGGTGATTATGCATACGACATGGCCACTGTAAGACACTTGTTTTGACTAATGTTTATAAGTGTATAAGGTTTTTTTCTGTCAGTAAATTTTTTTTTTTTTGGGGGGGGGGGTGTGGAATGAATCTTGACAATGAACACACGTGTAGTGTTCCACAGCTAATTCTTGCTAAAGAGAAACTTTCAATGATTCTGATTCTCTGACTCCAGTGATTGAAAAAAGTTGTTTTAATGCAGGGTTGTCTCTCAGAAAATAGTCTGCATTAGAACTGAGCTGGCTTAAAGAGAGATACCATGAAAGCCCGCAGATCAGCAACACCCATAGATAAGCCGCACCTGCAAATTTAGCAGCTCAAATTTTGGAAAAAAAGTTTTTAGAAAGAAATCAAATGAAATCTAAAGTGGAGTCTTGAGACGTCTTCCTCATCCACTGTTCTTCGAATGTAAACTCAATATTAACATTGCAATGGAAAATATTTCAAAGTCTTACCCCCAATTTAGCACCTTAACGTAATGAACATCATTTCTACCAATTCTGACCTATGATTGGTGGAACAATTGATTACAACAAGAATGTAAGCAGAACATTCGAAACTTAGTAACCAGGCATTAGATCGGATGTGAAAATGAAAAACTGGACACCGGCGTTGATATTCACCACACCTTTTCAAATGTTCCTGCAGATAAGCCACACCCCAAATTTCTAG